ATGATGATGATGTATTATTGTTATAGTCGGAGTAATACCACGGCCTCACAGAAAAACGGTTGTAAAGAAATCCTTCATTGATTTTCACCGACTGAGTCAGGTTACCTTCTTTACCAATTAGATTCTCATCCCAAGGTTGAAGCCAGGTAGTCGGTAAAACGTCATTTGAGGGTAAAGCAAAAGTAATTGCCTAGAAGTAGTGAAATGTTCATAAATTTGAAAAAAGAAGTTATCCGTAGATAGATTCAAAATATCAACAACTGATTTCGGCTGAATTTCACATCATCACATCACATCAACAGCCTATGATAGTCCACCGCTAGACATAGGCCTCTCCTCTAAAAGAAGGTTTTGGCCTACTATACCACGCTGGCCAGATGGGTTGGTATAGGGTTTGTTTCAAGTTGTTGGCCCCGATCTGTCGGACGCCCAATTCGGTTTCCGAGCGGGGCGTTCGACGATCGATGCCGTAATGCGCCTTAGGGCCGTGACCGAGGAGGCCGTGAGCTGCGGCGGAGTGGTGTTGGCGGTGTCCTTGGACATCGCCAACGCCTTCAATAGTCTGCCATTCAGCTGCATCAGGGAAGCGCTCCGCTACCACGGAGTGCCGGAGTACCTGAGGCGGCTGGTGGCAGACTACCTTGAGGAGCGAACCGTCATGTACGAGGACCGAGATGGCGTCTTGAGACGCAGGGCCATGTCGTGCGGTGTTCCGCAGGGGTCTGTCCTAGGACCACTCCTGTGGAACATTGGATACGACTGGGCCCTAAGAGGGCGTCTTCCCCCCGGGCTGGGTGTACTCTGCTACGCAGATGACACTTTAGTCACGGCCCGGGGGGCTAACTTCCAGGAGGCGGCGCGCCTGGCCGCCACGGGAGTTTCCCAGGTGGTCGGGCGCATTGAGGCGTTGGGATTACGGGTGGCCCTGGATAAGACGGAGGCCCTATTATTTCATGGGCCCCGTCGTGGTCCACCCGCCGGCGCCTCAATCGAGGTCGGCTCGGTCCTCGTACCGGTCCGGGCCCAGATGAGGTACCTGGGTCTGGTCCTAGACGGTAGGTGGCTCTTCGACGAGCACTTCCGACAGCTTGGTCCGAAGCTGGTGGACACTGCCTCCGCCCTAGGGCGACTTTTGCCCAATTTGGGCGGGGCCAGTGTTCCCACGAGGCGGCTGTACGCGGGGGTTGTCCGGTCCATGGCACTTTATGGTGCACCGGTGTGGGTGGCGGCTCTGACCGCCCCGAATAGGGCGCGCCTCTGGCGCCCCCAGAGGATATTGGCGGTCAGAGCCATACGCGGATACCGCACGGTGTCCACCGAGGCGGCTTGCGCCTTGGCCGGAACACCCCCGTGGGATTTGGAGGCGGAAGTGCTCGCCGAAGTTTATCGGCGAGTGGCTGACTTCCGGGCGGAGAGCGGATTTCGCCCTCCGCCCGAAGACGTGCGCGAGTGGCGCGAAGCCGCTCGCCGAGCCACCATGGTTAGATGGTCGTTCCGGCTGGAGACTCCACGCGCTGGCTTCGCCGCCGTGGAGGCTCTCCAACCGGTCATAGCCGAGTGGGCAGGGCGGCAGCACGGGGCCCTTTCCTTCCGGCTGACGCAGGTGCTTTCCGGGCACGGTTGCTTCGGAAAGTACCTGCACTCGGTCGCTAGGAGGGAACTGAGTCCCGCCTGCCACCACTGCGACTGCAGTGAGGACTCGGCCCAGCACACGCTGGCGGTCTGCCCCGCATGGGCGACGCAGCGCCGGGCCCTCACTGCAGTCATCGGAGCAGATCTCTCGCTACCGGCCGTAATTCGCTCCATGGCCGGTAGCGACAGTTGTTTTACCGCGGTCGCAACCTTCTGCGAGGAGGTAATCTCGCAGAAGGAGGCGGCGGAGAAGGCCCGGGAGGACGACCTCCACTCGGACCCGATCCGCCGCCGGCGAACCGGGCGGCGGAGGCGCGCTTACCTGCGCCTCATGCCGCCCTGAGTGTGGCCGCGGGTGGACGGGGTGGGTTTCCCCTCCACCCGCATTAGTTGGCCAGCCGCGAGGGGGCGGCGTCCGCGTGTGCCGGACGTCGCCTAAAGAGAGGATAATTGAAGACGGAGCCCGCACCAGGAGCGGGCCGGCGCTGGGAGGGGTCCAGAAGGCGATAACTACCTGGACCCCTCCTAAACTGGAAGCGCAAAGAGGGCACACCGTGTGGTTTTAGTCGGTTCGAGTCCGACACACCACCCCGCCGCAAACCCCGGTGGGGTGACGGTCTGAGGGGATTTCCACACGTTAAAAAAAAAAAAAAAAAAAAAAGGGTTTGTTTCAAGTTTTCCTTCTCTTTGCAGTGCTGTTGTCTTTTGTAGTTTTCTTCTTTAGTAGTGGTGACATTACATATTCTTAATCCGTCATCACACAGATTTCACTTGCAACAATTTGTAAACTAAATCATTAACATTATACATCAAATTTCCATTATAAACAGTTTAAATTGCCAATATCGTGATTGGGCACAAAACAATATATTTTTACATCGAAATAACAAGTTTTTAGACCATTCAAGTGGATATTTTCAATCATCAGCCTGGCACAGAGCCACGGATTACTATAGCTACTGTTGAAAACAAATACGATTTTAACAAAGTAACGTATTGATGGATAGACAGACAGACAATCCCTTTGTGCGCGTAAATGGTTTAAATGGAAGGGAAAATAATCTCCCCGTCCACTACCATTATAGACAAATCACGGACGTTGTTTGTGTGTGACACGTTGCATATGAAATGCACATTATATTATTAGGTCCTCACATGTGACATTGGCGTTTTGTACTGGTGGAATACGGCTCCAATTTGTACAGGTCCACGGGGTTGGTTCGGAAGGTCGAAATTTCTAGAACGAAAACGTTGAAACCAAAAACGTACCGTGCTTTCTTTTGCGACACCAACGCCGTACACAACATTAATCCGTCGAGCTGTTTCTGCAGCACTGGTGCCACGGTAGAACTCGTACTCGTAAATATACTGATATTTCATGTTTTCCACTGTGCGGTAATAAGCGACGCCAAAGAAAAAAATATAAGGAAAAAAAACAAAGGAATGACTGTCTTCAAAACGCAAATGTACCAGCTAAATAAATTTATAAATTTGTATTTGGAATTCTTAACCAAAGAGGAGATATTTCAGATCAAAGTGGTCAGCTAATTGCTGGACAAAGCTAATTTCAAATGTAAGGACCTAATTTATATACCTAATATATTATGTACGCATAATTTCATCCACGCAACTTCTCATCCAGAATTTTAATTGTTCTTTTTTATATAAAGGACAACTCCCGCACTAGGAATATATCCTGCGTCGCGGGGGGCTTCTCAAACATACATGAAATGGACACAAAGAATATCCAGACTTAGAACAACAAATAGAATCAAAATATAATCCTGTCACAAAAATATCGATGTATCTTTGAACCACCTTTCATCGCATAAAAGTAGCTTGTTGTATCTCAAAAGACCACCTGTGTTACACATACAGGCTGAAAATATTCTCCCATGAATATTATTCATTGTGTTAAATGAAAGCCTTTATGGCACGGTTTATATACTCCACAAAGGGCTAAGCATTTTTCCTGAAAATTCCATATAACGTACTATTTACTTTCTATTGCGGCGAGGTATTGAATGAGCAAATATACTGACCGTACGTAAAAATGATGCTGATGTTATCGTTATATTGGAACCTATTACGCCATCTATTTTAATATTATAATTTTGTAATAGGTTTTAACTTATGGTACCATAATTGATCGAAAGATTGCGTGGTCTATATAGATCGTTTTGTAGATCGCGACGTTAAGATCTATATCTGAATGAATAACTACCGCAATATGTTTAGTATTTTTTGTCCGTTTAACAGACTTGGAGTATACCTTCATGTGGGAAACCTGTTGATTTTTGATTTATCAACCCCCCTAACCATTTAGTTTCCCGGAGATTAAACAATGTCTTGTATGTAAAGAGTTAGTATCTTGATTTTTCTTTTTTATGGTATAGGTGGGCAAACGAGCAGACGGAATTTCTGAAAATAAGAGTCATAATTGTGTTGCCACCCTTTGAGTCCCCCCCCCCCCCCCAGAATCAGGAACAGTGCCTCACTCACTCGGTGAAATGCAAAGAAAGAACTGGTTGAATGGTGGAATTTCTGCGAGACCGTGCTCTCCCACTAATATACGTAAGGTTAACTTTTAAAAAGTATCACCAATTTCAATGCACGTACATCATGAGGTATTGTAATATACTGTATGAAGTGATATTTAACTACCTCGGTGGTGCAGTGGTAGCGTATGCGACTGCTGTTGTGAGGTCTCGCGTTCGATTTCCGAGTCGGACCTAATGTTTGTATGCTCTGCAAATATTTGTTTCGGAGTTTGGGTGTTTTCTGTGTATAATATATGTATTTACAAAAAGAAAGTATATAAGTATTCTATCAGTCAATTTAGCTTTCATAGTACAAGATCTGCTTAGTTTGAAACTAGATGGCGTTGTGTGTAAGATGTCTGAAATATTATGAAATTATTGTTTCTTTAAATTTTAATGGGACTAAACGCTAAATTTACCCTCTGAAATAAAAAATGTATTTTCGGTAATCGATTGAGAATCGACCGAGTTCTGAGGTAACAAATAAACACATTAGATAATAACGAATCGATAACATACTATTCATTGTATAGATTCAGAGAATTAACAACCATACTTTTTTATAACATAAAACAAACCACAGGTATGCCTAAACACTTCAAGTAAAATAATACGAGTATTATTCAGATAATCCTCTGTTAGAGAGAAATTATTATAAGAAGGGCTTAAATCAGCAATCTTGAATAAATTATTAGATTATTAAATTTATTTATTGAGCTTTGAACAGTAACAATGTATGAGGTGAAAAGCAAAAACACTAAACATTAGTACGTTAGACAGATTCAAAGCTGAAGTGCTCTAAATAGTGTAATAACTAATCAAATAAGATTAATACTCAAGAAACTGATTGTTTCTTATTTTGTACACGAATCTGAAACGAAAGAAAAATAAATTAAGTATTTTATTATTTATAAAATCTGTTTCCTCATACGTCGACTCATATGAGTTATTTTATTTTAGGGTCAACCCAAATATTAAATCAACCAGATTTCAAAATTGTTATGTTATTATATCAAGACCCAAGATGATGTAACAGAGTGGTGTAGAGCTGTAGGCTATAACAAAATTTCTACTATATAGGTCCTCTGTATGCCTGGAGATTATTTTTTTTTAGATCGAGAGGTAGCTGATTTGATCATTATGTTAAAAATTGAGCTACACGTAGAAACAAAATTATCTTATTATGTTTATTTTATAACATAGGAGCAAATGAGCAAGCGGTTCATCAAATGGTAAGTGGCCACCGTCGAGTACAGATATCTGCAACTAAATGCTTTTAGCGCTCTTTCCTTGAAACTTTGAATGCCGCATCCAAAAATACCGCAGGTGACAACTTGTGATAAGTAAAAAGTTTCTTGAAAAGCGCATCGTGATGGAGTATCAATTATCCAAGTGATGGAAGTTAATGTTCAACGAATTTATCAGAAAATGTACCAAGACGTAAAAAGAACTTAACCAGTGTGGAGTTGGCTTAATTTTATTCACGAACCTGCAAACAAAATTACTTAGGTATGTTATCGTTTTTACCTTTCACATAGCATAATCAAAGTTGATAGCAGGAATCCTCCAGCAAGAAGTACGAATACCGGAGATGCTCCACCGAGGGCCAAAGCTCGTGGGGAACTACCTTCACATTTAGCTTCTGGAGTAGCTGTCCGAGTTTGGATACAAGATACGAAACCACGTTCTGTGAGACGCATGAGGCTGTGTAAAAAAAAATTAATGTATGTAGGGTAGAAACAAATTATAGTCATATAAATTGTCTCGTTTTTACTGTAGAGGGCGCATTGCAGTCAGTAGCACGTGTGGCACGGGCGAGTAAAGACGTGTTGGTTTGCGTATATTTATTTAGCTGCGGAGGCATTGATGCATTCATATGTATAAGAGTGCTATAAATGTATACTTCACATGTTTCCAGAATATTGTCACTTGGCTCATTTTCTTTTTTTCATTTTTTATAAGGTCTACACAGGCAACCAAAATTACTAGTATACCCGTTAACCCCTAACGCTAAGCTTAATTGCTTGTATTAGGAGTGGGTTCACGTCGGTAGTGTACTGGTCAGGATTTGAACCCACGACCTCTTGATCGCAAGTCCAACGCCTTAACCACTAGGCTTCAATTGAAATTTGTAATGGACAGCAGATCTCCAGCCCGTTTAAATTTATATAACAATATTTTTAGCCTAATGAGCACTATAAGATTGAATGGTTTACTAGTTTTCTGCACATGGCATTGACATCAAGAGAGTTTGATGTTAATTATTAAAACCAAGTAATTTATAACGAAATAATTAGCAAAGTAATTACTTAAACCACTTGTACTTTATAAATTATAATTCCCTAAAGTAAACGTAACCTAAATTTACACGTACATACACGTACGTGTATGTATTTAAATGCTTGAAATAATACTAATTTGGTTATTCAATTCTATTACGTATATAACGTATCCAATTTGAACCAACCAACTCGCTTTAGGCTAATTTTAATTTGAAATACAAAACACGACAAAGTTTCTTGTAGGTTTATTTAGATCCGTTGTACTTGTGTTTGTAAAGATTTACAAAAGTGATTTGAGTATTTTTTACTAAAGTTGTTTGTTAAAGCAAATTGAGACATATTTTTTTGTATTTCAGGAAGTAAACATTTTATTTTTTATTTTAGAAACATATGGTGTCTTTATTAGGCTAATTATTTATTTGATTAATGAGCTTTTACTAAATGATATGCCCGTGTGGTGACGGATTAAGAATACGGAGTGTCACCACCTATTCATCCCGTGGGTGTCGTCACACTAACTGCATAGAGAAAGAAAACTTGAAACACACCCTTTACCAACCCGACGAGCTAGCTTAGTAAGGTCGGCCAAAACCATCTTTCTAAGCCTATATCCAGCAGTGGACTGCTGAAGGCTGTTGATGATGATGATGACTCAATGATATTGAGATTATATGGTTGATAAACGAGACTGGCGGTCTAGGGTTCAACATCCTGATTGCTGTAAATCGTTACCAGTCGCACCTTTCCTCCATCGTTCCACACTGCAAAATTTTCATTCCCATCACCTGGATAGTTAGGGCTCCACCACTGTGCGCTTTTCCAAAAACTTATTGCCTCGTATAACTCATCTGTGGCACGGGTTATCGTCTTCGGTATTTTCGGACCGATATGACAAACCTTCAAGAAAAGAGCGTACTCCTATCTAAAAGGCCGGCAACTCGTTTGTGACTCCTGAGTTAAAGACGTTCATAGCGATAGTCACTTTCCATCAGGTGACCCGTCTGCTCGTCTGCTCCTCTATCATAAAAAAAAAGATCTCAACCCAGGACCAACAATTGCGTGAAAACTAAAATTATGACACTAATTAAAATGTGACATGTGTCAAATTATTTTGTTTAATACGATAAAAGCAAAATCTGTGTACCTCCACGTCATAAACTCCTTGTAAGGGCTATCCTTCGGCATACAAGGATACAGATTAGTCTTCTCAATGGATTGCAAAGATCCCAACTCACACAGTTCTGTTTGGTCAAAAGTTCTTGAAATCAATGAGTTTGCTGTGTTAGTTTCAGTGTGGTAGGCGTAACCTAAAAATAAAAATGAGTAAAATTTATTATATAAATGAAGTTATTCGACAGAGAACTGAAGTAACCACGGAGTATCAATACGCTGAAGTGGAAGTGGCCGGTCATGTCTCCAGGCGGACTGATGGTCGCTGGTACCGACAAGTGCGGGTGGAGACCGTAGTGTAGGCAGCCCTGTGGCACGACGGATCGATGACTTAAAGAGAGTGGCTGGCAGCGGATAGATGTGGACAGCCCTAGACCGGGATAATTGGCACTCCAGGAGTGAAGGGATGACGATAAGATGACGACGATGATGATGAAGCGTAACCTACATTTTGACTCATTTTTGAATGGTCATAATACAAATCTTAACTCAAATGACCAGGCTTACTTTTTAAACTTGGATAGACATAAGAGATATGCTCATATCATATAGCTTTAATACATAGCTTTTATGACAATGATGATAAAATGGATGATAGACGAAACGGCTAAGCGACATATTTTGACTAAGGTGTAGAGTTTGTGAACTAATAGAGTTAGGGTGTGTAGAGTTAAAAGCTTGGCTTTATATGAGATCTGATACTCGTAACATTTTGACAGTGCGAGTCATATGGTCCGGTCTAGGCAACATTTACATGCAAAATGTTGTTGGTGGGATTTCACTTCTTTTTGTAAGTTGCTTATGATAATAAAAATAATAAGGTGGATTTAATAATTTTAGACCACTAGCATCAATATTTGTGGAAGTCCCATACAAAGTTCCATCCCCTAGTTGAGAGGGTTCGGGAGGATAAAAGTTCAAAGTTTTAGAACTTTTTAGTTGTTTGTGTACTAATAATAGCTTACACACCAAATTTCAGCTTTCTAGAACTTGAGTAACCTTTTTTTTTTTTTCCGGGCGGAAATCTCCTCGGTTACACCTATCGGTGGCATGTCGGACTCGAACCGACTAAAACCGCACGCCGTCTCGGGTACTAATAGCCGGGAACCAGGTATACCCTAGAAAGGAAGTCCCTGGTGCCACGACATACCTCGGGCCATCTACAATAACAGGTAGACGACCCCCCGTGTGGGAACCCCATGTTCCCTCTGCTCCCTGGAAGCGAGCGCGCTTCGCAACGCGCTCGCCGCCACCCCGGCCTGCTTCTGCTAGGGTGACAGATGGCCTCACCTGTCACCCCCAGGCCTGCGCTTATGGAGGACGGAGGTCGTTCTGCGCCCTCCGGCGCCCGAGTCGCCTGCGGTACCTGGCCCGTTCCCGGGCCTGGCGGGCCGGGAGAGTCCTAAACCAGTACGAAAAATAAATGTCAGGTATTGTAATTTACGTTGTTCAGGAGTTCAATATTTAGGAAGTACCCTAAGAATTTTGATGATCATCAGTGAGTCAGTAACGAAATCGGAGTTTTTAAATATTTATTTTTTTAACTCATCAACAATTTATTACAATTGTGTCTAAATATATAATTATTTTATATATACAATTTATAATTATTTTTTTATATATTTTTACAGAAAATGACGTGTGAGAGAGATTCTCTTATACCTATTCATATAATGAGGTCTTTGTGTTCTATTTTTAGTAAGTATTAGAGTAATTGGTCTCAAATCGTATTTTTTATATCGATAAGACGAGGAACATTTGTTAGAAAGCGATCTTTGTAAGTATATAATATTAAATATAATATTTAAGATATGAAATATGGCCTTAGTGAATCCAATTAAATCCTTTTGACATCTGTTGGTAAGTTGGGGAAAATTTTCTTTCCTTTTTTTTCGAATTTAACGAGAACTCCTGCATTAGGAATATATATCCTGTGTCGCGGAGGAGTTTACAAACATACATGAAACGGAGACAAAGAACACCTAGACTCAGAACAACAATTCGTGGATCTCACGAAGTGGTGTCCCACGTGGGGATAAACCCACAACACTCAGCTTAGTAGTAAGCTGCGTGGCGACCGCTTAACCTACCATACCTACTAATATGTATCGACGACGCACAGTATAATCTTTAATAGTGGGAAAGGAAAGGGAACATATCAATCAAATCTAAAGTATAAGAAAGGAGAAACTGGTAGAAAAGAGAAACTGCTTGCTTGCTTAAGAGAATAATAATAATATTTTAGACACCTAATACACCACGCCATCTAGTTTCAAACTAAGCACAGCTTGTTCTATGATCGCTAGATTGACTCATAGACTACATTTTTTTGTTTTCGTAAATACATACATATTATACCTACATAGAAAACACCCAAACAGATCACTACAAAGCTTTTGCAGACAATAAAAACACTTGGTCCGACCCGGGAATTGAAACCTCATAAGGGCTTTGATAAATTTGATATCAATCAAATCTCTAGTATAATGGATGCAATTGAGACTTTATGTGTTTAATGATTCCACTATTAAAATCACATCTAGAGAATTTTGTTTATAACGTATAATCCAAACCTAAGTTATGAGGGTTCAAAAAGTGCAAGGGCACTACCTACTGGGGCACTAGCGTCTCCTCCGATATATATGTCTCAGTTCCCTGTTTGAATTTCTTTTCTTCTATATTTGCCAGAATGTATTTATTAAAGGTTATTTTTTAGGTTATTTTTTAGAAAGGTTATTATTTACCTTAGCTCTAACTTAAGTGCAGAGCTTCTAATCACTTAATTATACACTACTCTAAAGTATTTTAGTGTAGAAAAATTTAAAGGCATTAAGCCCGCTATAATACATATTTACACATAAAGTGTTAATAAATAGAAAGTAAATGATTGAAGACAGGTTCTTAATCCCCCAAACTTGATAAAAAAATCGGTTGTCTGTAAAGTCGGTTTACTGACGATAGTTGAATGTGACAACGTCATAAGAAAATACTGATGGAATGGTTGAATTTTTCAAAAATGTATTATTGTATATGAGTAGCAGCTGTCCACGCGGACGCATCGCTCACTCAAATAGGAGAGAGACAGATGTCGAACGCTGCCGAACGCGGAGGCCGATTGTGCCTCTTTGTCATTCGTTCCGCGCTCTCGCTTGCACTTCACGCCTTAAATGGAACGCCCCAGAGCGAGGTAACGCCGCATGAGTCATGTTTTTTCGTGCGTGCAGCCGGCTCCATCGAATTATAAGACGTTGTCACGTCAAAACTAAATAGTCCAATTAATTAAAGACGTGGCTTGGCATAATATGTTTATTTAAATTACCTCCTCTTTGTACCATTTTCAGTCCCTGTACCAAAGAATCTAGTAATTGGTCAATCTTCTTTCTATTGAACAAAAACTAAATAGTCTACTTAATTAAAGACGAGGCTTAGCATAATATGTTTATTGAAATTATCTCCTCTTTGTACCATTTTCATTCCCCGTACCAAAGGCATTTGGTCATTCTTCTTTTTATTGAACAAACACTAAATAGTCTACTTACTTAAAGACGTGGCTTAGCATAATAGGGAAATTAAATTACCTCCTCTTTGTACCATTTTCATCCCCTGCACTAAAGGCTCCAGTAATGGGTCATTCTTTTTCTTATTGAACACTTTCTTTACACGCATCTCGTCCTCTATTTGAGCATTTCTTTTATTGTAATAGAAATTGGGTATCTGTAATATATGCATGCGTTTGAGGGTGTTAAAGGAATTGAACATATTCTTTTGAATAATATTATATTCTTCGGGAGAAAAGGAATGGAATAATAGAACAGAATAAATGTGAATGCTTCTAATAATACTTTAGAAGAAGAAATAGAATGCTGCAATAAGATGTCGTAGAAAATTTAAAATGTGATGTTCACACATTTTGTATAATATTTGTTTAAAATTCCTGTTAGAAAATTAAAAAATATATTAAAAAATAAATGTATATAACTTCAAAAAATAATAACTTGTCTATGGTTTGAAGAATTTTTATTTGCTTTAGATAAACAACATCTGTCCGTGTAGTGACGGATTAAGAATACGGAATGTCACTACCCCAATTCATCCCGTGGGTGTCGTAAGAGGCGACTAAGGGCGCAAAACAACGCAGGACACCAGCACTGCAAAAAGAAGGAAAACTTGATACAAACCCTATACCAACCCGTCTGGCCAGCGTGGTATAGTAGGCCAAAACCTCCTTTCTAAGGAGAGGCCTATGTCCAGCAGTGGACTATTAAAGGCTGTTGATGATGATGATGATGAAACAACATCTTTAAAAAAAAAGAGAACTGTAAAAATGTGAGTGAACGAAAGCGAGTTAAATTCTGTCAAATCAAATCACCTGTAACCATGATCGAGTATATCCCATATCTTCAAATATCAGTTCCAACGGACTGTCCAACAGCTCTTTCAAAGAATTGATTGATGGAGGTGGACCATTTAGCAGCCAGCTAACCACGGAGCTTGTGTAGTAGTTGAACATTAATACGCAGGATAATCCCGTTACCAGAAGCGTTATTTTTCGAGCTGTAACGTAGAATATACACCGATTTGGTTTATTTGCAGTTAAGAGAGCTCAGATATTTAAACAAAGCTATTATAAAGAAACCTCCTTTCTAAGGAGCGGCCTATGTCCAGCGTGGACTATTAAAGCCTGTTGATGTGATGATGTGATGTGATGATTATAAAGAAATCGCAATTCTTAAACTGTATCATAGAAGTTTTTTTCTATATAAACTAGTACTCGTATAGTTATAATGTTAATTTTTAACTATGTAATAGAGAGGAATTCTGAATACTTGTGTTTATTCAGGATTCAAGATTACAATTTCTTTATAGAAGAATTTATCACTTAAACAATAACTTTTTTGCTTTAAGTAATGACCCTTATGTTGCCTTTGCATCTATAAACACTCACCATATAAATGACGTTATTTTCGACTTGTCAACCCTATCCAAAGTTATTGAGAATCTCTGACTGCCCTTACCGCCAGTTGAAATAAAAATAAGGAAATACTTAACTAAATTAAAACCTTTGAGGGAATGCAATCAATCTACTTATAAAAAGCTTTACGCTTTTTTTTAAATATGAAATAAATGTTCTGAACTAAAACAGGCACAAAGGTCTTGCAATTAGTTTTCCACTTTGGGGAATTGGGAGTACGGTTTCAAACATTCCAATTACATTAGCAATTGACACAGTTTTACTTGGAAATTTCATATCCAAAGTGGTTTTAGCCACGAATATATTGATTATTACGGATATTATCAATCCCATGGTGATTGGCGTTTGATATAATTGTCGCGGGATGTATTGTGCTTCGAATGTTCTGTATTTGCTGTATAATTAATTATGTTAAGTGAGCAAATTCAGTGACAGTAAATTAAAAAAAAAAGGTTGTTCTCATCCCGGTATAAGTTATTGTTGTACGTAGTACACTTTTAAGGATGAAGCTATTAAATGGTAACACTAAAACATCATATTTTTTATGGAAATTGTTGGTTTTATGGATCCTTCCCTTCCCAAATTAGGAAAGGGGGAGTTTGAAGCTCCTTAGAATCAACTCACAAAATTTTCTGTGAGGCCATGGTATCACACAGTCGGCCAGGTAATTTCTGTCAAAACATCTATCGTAGGCTATCCCTCGTAAAAAAAGCTTATAAAATTTGTTTTGACAAGTCTAAAAGATTGGTCTTATTAACGATTATCTGATGTCGTAATCGGAATATGTACAGTTTAACTCTTTATGCGGTTCTAACTAAAGAAATTCGGGATAGAAAACAATTAATATGCTTACAGAAATATAAGAGTACACAAAATACACATCCATATGTACGTATATGCCGCCTCGCTCTCGTTTAAGCGAAGATTGATTTTCTCTTTTTGAGGCGACACTAAAGTGGAAACTTTTAAAGTAATGAAAAAAACTGTTCTATTTATCTTTAAAAGCTTTTACTATCCAATTTCTTCAAAGTTAATCCGTACTTCTACACTTCTATTATAAGTAAATATGAAAGTGAGTTTATTTGTTTCTTTGTTGCCTTTTTACGCCTAAACCTTCAAAATTATTTCACCAATAATAATGTTTATTTAAATTTAAAAACTTATTATAATAATAATATAATAATATATAATATATTCTACCACATACACACAACGCCATCTAGTCCCAAACTAAGCAGAGCTTGTACTATGGGTACTATACAACTGATATAAATACATATATACTTTTTTTTGTTGTAAATACATACATATTATACATAGAAACACCCAGACCAAATCAAACATCAAATGTTCATGCACACAAATGTTTGACCTGAGCGGGAATCGAACCCGCGACCTTTGGAATAGCAGTCCGTTACACAAACCACTACACCATCCAGTCGTCAATACAATACAATACTCAATTACTTCTGCCAAACTGCACAGCAGTTTGTTGGCAGACGTAGTTCCCATTTTATCATATTACATTATTTCAACTATTGTTATTACATTCTTTATTATAATTTAACAATTAAATTACCATATCCTTTTTACCAAAAAGAAAAATAACATCCACAATTACAGTAATGATCATTTAATCAAATCACTTAGTGATTAGTTATTGTTAACAAAAATACTTGAGTATTATAATAGTTATAATACTTTGGGTTCCTGTCACATTTTCACTGATCACATTTAGAAGAAACTTTGTAACTTTGTATTTATATGGAAATGGAAAGGATAATGGAAAACTACATTTTCAGGGAGTAAAATAGGTGGTAACATTGGTACATGTCGCGATTACAATATGCTGAATGGTAAAATTGACCAACTGGATATTTTCCACAATTCCCTGATACACTTCAAGGATATGATACTGAAATCGTTTGCATGACTGCCACTTTCATTGTTTGGACTTATCTGTGTTTAGTTTCTAAGTACTAAATTTCTGTTAGTCTCGTTCACTTTGGTCTTAATTTTGTTACTACTTGAATGTGTGTCAACCTAACGATGTATACTGTGCATGCCTGTAATTGGTCTACATATAAGAACTATCCTTATATTGAACTGCATTTTGAACAATGTTATATATGTATACTGTTGGCGTGTCTATAATAAATAAATAAATAAATAAAACATAACATATTTTTTACCGCGATAACCGACATACTATGTGACGCGATAGTTAAACAATTAGGACATTCTTCCCATTTAGTCCTATTTAAAATTGGAAACAAATACTACCCCTTGAAACTGGAACATTAAGGAAAACAGTTTATTATACTTACTCATGATGTAGGTGTCTACCAGTTGATTATAAAAGGCTGTTGATGGTGATAATGGTGATTTAGATGCTTCGAAGTCGGTGATACTTTTATTAAAAGTAAGTATATTGTTTTTCACCATTATAGTACCGTCATGTTTTGATCTTTATTGTGTTGGTCCAGCGTAATTTGATTTACGGAGGGTTCGTGTGCTTTTAATTTTATCCCGACGTGAAAAACCGGTGTATTAAAATGACACTTTCTCATAACATCGTTATATAACGGCCGGATGGCGTAATGGTTTGTAAAGGACAGCAGGCGCGGGTTTGATTCCCGCTCAAGCCAAAACATTTGTGAGCATGAACATTTAATGTTTGATTTGGTTTGGATATTTCTATGCATAATATGTGTGTATTTAGAAAAATTAAGTGTGTGCAATTTACACACGGCAGAAGTGAAACGGAACGGAAAAGCTAGGCGAGGTTCGGAAGTCATATTAACGACTGTTTCCGAAGCTTTCTTATTTCAGGCGCAGAGTGGCATACCTTGTGGTTTTAGTCTGTTCATTTCCGACACAAGCAAACCCCGGTGGGCTGACGAGGAGGTTCCACGGATAAAAATGGTAATTTATTGTTTACTAGCTGCCTGCTTGTATGTCGGTATAAAAAGCCTAGCCTATATCACTTGCTGATAATGTAGCTTTTCATTGGTACTTATTTTTAAATAGGTTTAATGGTTTAGGCTTTAAAAAAAAGTGCAACAAACTCACGTTTACATTTACAATATAAGTACTATAGACGTTACAAACACAAAGAGATTTTGCAATGAAGTTGTCATGGATATAAAAAACAGAGAGTATTTCTTATCCCGTAATAATGACATAAAAAAACACGATAAATTATTATAAACTACATTTTTCATTCCTTAATTGGTTTCCACCCTTAAGCGTATTATTTTTGCTTCAAATTGGCCCAATCAGGAGATGGGGTACAGTTTTCAAAGTAAAATGATGTTTTCTAAATCTGTTTAGAAATGACGGGTTCATACGGGCGAGTACAGAGGCAAAAAAAAACAACTGAAATGAAACCTTCTGAAGTAATTTAAAAATACCTACATTATTTGAAAAAATCTACATGCTGCTGGCAAAAAAATTTATTATTTTAAAATAGCATTAAAGAGTGGTCATAGGCCTTTCTAAGGAGAGGCCTATGTCCAGCAGTGGACTATTAAAGGCTGTTGATGTGATGATGATGATTAGAGAGTGCTATTATTTAATTGATGTAGTTGTTATTTGGGGTGCAGACTATGAGAGAGAAAGAAAGTGTTGGCAATGCGGTAGCGATAACCCAAGGACGGTTTTTATCTTTACTGTCCGTGTTTATAGTGATCGTTAAATATAAGCATTTCCGAAGTTAGCTGTATAAAAAAATATAGTTACCTGTAGAGTTTCTAACATTCACACTATCGTCGGTGTCTTCGTAAACTGTAACAAGTATGAATTGTAATTTAAAACACGTTTAACTCAAAAATTCTATTATTTAATGGCTCAACAGAATGTTTTGCAACCGTAAAGATATCGGAGACCTAAGAACACTCTCGATTAAGTAATTTTTTAAACAAAAAGAAAAACTGAATCGTATTTAGGTCTAGACTTTTAAGACCTATAATGCTACATAGAAATATATAGATAATCACGTTTAATCTATAACACTCAAATAATTTTGCGTCTAAGATTAAAGACCGCTAATTGTACCAAATTACTAGTTTCCGTTGAACGAGTACGAATTTTTGAGCTCGCATTTTGAAGACCCTAGCAAATGTAATGTGTGTACATGTTTAAGTATATATGTTTATTTTTATCATCGACTCCTCAATTCTTTTCCTTAATTTCTATCGCATAAATTGCCACATCTTCCTAACGCAGGCTAGGAGAAAAGCCCGTGACAATAAGTCCGCTATTTTGCAATTTTCATTTGTGTAAAATGGATTTAATAAAAAATGAAAAAAACGTGACTTATGTTTTGAGACATAATGGAATCACCAATGTAATAATATCGTCCTTACTTCACTATGATAAATACCCAACTTTAACTTACATTGCTGGCAAACTGAAGCTATCACAGAAAACACTGCGTACTGAGCAAAGGATGGTCGTTCTTCAAGCCGAGCAGATAGAACAAGTACAAATGCACATAGTAAAGAGATCCCGATGACACCCCACCAGGCTTTAGGATTCAGCGGCGTAAGGAAATTATTCTCGAACTTTCCTGGGCCTGTGGTTGGTATCCGATAGTAGTACCTTGTTCTGGAAGATTCACAGTGTTGAGTGCTTGGAATTTGTAAATTGAATTTTTTAAGTGATTCCTGTTAAATACGCATATAGTTTGTATGACAAAAAAACAACAGTAAAAAGGTAGTCTTTAGTAAAGAGGTCATGGGTTTGAATCGATCCAGTACAGTACCGACGTGAACCCACTACTAACACAAGCAATTTAGCTAAGCGCGAGGGGTTAACGGTAATACTAGTAATTTCTGTTGCTAGTAGGCCTTTTGAAAAAGAAAAAAAAAATAACAATCTTACTCACTCAATGTGCGTAACAGGCACTATCAAAGTATATATTTTAGTTTCAATTCGGATTAAATGTCGAATCACTGGCGAAATATCCTGTTCTCGAAAATACAAACTGTTTGCTACTACCTAAAACATATTTCATCCAAATAAATTTATATAGGCAATTAAACATTTGACACTTAATAATAAATATTTAGGTATTTCGAACACAAAAGTGAGAGAGGGAGAAGAAAAACAATTGAAAAAACAAAATATACATATAAAGAATTTGGCTGCCGTTTTGATTCATTGCTCGTACATAATTAAATTTAAATACTTAATTTTGGAAGGACTGTTTTATATCCTTTTTGAAACTTATATATCGCAGTCCCCGACGAACAAAATCGTAATAGGAAAATAACAATTTTACAGGAGCAAATAAAAACTGAATATCTTGAATACTATGAAGACTAAAAAGAAGATTCTTTTATCAAAAATAAGGAAATATTTTTTTGCTCTAGATTTTTACTAAATTTTTATTATAAATTTTCTTTATCAGTAAGAAAATTGTGAAAATGTCCATTACTGAAATAAGCTATGGAAAAAATTAACGCAAACTAACCTTACGATAGTGTTCGACTGTAATCACAAATCGGTGTTGCTGTAGTAATCGTTCATTATGATATTGTTCCATGGTAAATATGAATATACTTTATATTCGTAAAATGACATTGCAATCGTATTCGATGATATAACTGACTTTAATATTACGGTAAACATAAATTACATGCTTATTCGATGATCATTTTTAGGTGTTATAACCATTTCGGTACCTATGTATAAATTCTGATTCTGATTCTGTCATTTTTCCCTCGAACAATATGGTAATAGCCGCTTACTCTAAAATGTTGACTTTTGAGATTTGGTAATAGGTTTTTGGGTTGTTGATCGTGTAAATTTTTCACTTATGTTATACGTTGAACAAAAACATAAAGATCATTATTGAATGGATAAATCCAAAAGTATTCATCGCCCTATCATAAAAAAAAAACTCAATGATTGTAATAGGGTGTGTAGATAACGAATATCTAATAAACCCGATTCTATCGTAATAGCGATTACCATAGTGTTCGTCGGGGACTGCGATATATTATATATTATTTAATAAAAAATGATAATGACATAATGACATGTACCGGCTATTGTATTAATTACATTGCAGTTTTTGACTTTTAATTTGTGATGATATCTATACTTGCTGTATTTTTTAATTTGTGATGATATCATTTTAAACCAAAAAAAAGATGAACTTTCCGACAAACCATTCCAATGATTTTCGACTCAGAATCATGTCTGAATACACTATTTCAGTATTCGTTACGATGTCCCTTACACCCTGTAAATATTGGTCAAATTAAAAAAAAAAACTTCGATAGATAGATACTTCGATACGGTCGAAATTAAACCATTAGGCGATCTCCGGTAAAATTGAAAATTTAATTCAATAAATTGAAAAAGTCTACATAATTAAAAAATTAAAAACCCTACTGCAAAAAGACAATTTAAAAGTAATGCACTAAAAAGATCAAAACAGCACGAGGTCCGGCACAAACATGGCCCATTTTTACACTATCAAAAACTTTTTAAACCAATTTGTTATTCCTCAACAAAATTAAATAAAAAAGTTATATAATTTGTTTATTTATATTTATAATAATTTGTTTTTGTACTGAATACGTTAGTTTTCTTTTATTTAACCTATTACTATTTCGTTTCGTTTTTCCTTTCAAGAACCCATCGAAGAACACAAAGGTTTTTGAGACGGATAAACCAATACCATAACTATCGAAATCCATTCAGCCATTTGGAAGATACGAAGTAATAAAGAAACTTAGAAACAAACTTACAAGATATGCTTGAAAAACATAATCCTTTCTTGGCAGACGGATAAAAAGCGAATTAAAACTATAAATGTTATTGGCTTATGGCACTTCCAGGCATACCTAATATATTTTTTTAAATAATATAAACTGAAAATTAACAAGACGAGTTTTGCGCATCTGCAATCAGTTTGCTCAATAAATATTTACCTTAGTACTATTTCTTTCAAAAGTACCAATCCATCTGTCAGTGAAAGTGTATTTGTAACTGAAAAACAAATTGTAAAAGATTATAGTTATATTAATACAGTTTACCTAATATTACAGTAAACAATAGTAAAAAAAAATAGTTTGGTCCTGTCCAAACATTGTTTCGTATTCTGAAAACGTAGTGCTTGTCAGGTTTTTTGAATTTTTTGTGATTTTTAGTTTAGTTTAGAGAGTTTTCGAACAACAGAATTAGCACCATTGTATTAGAAACTAACAGTTATAATCATATGAAAATGTTGTTTACTACGCCGCCGCATATCATTGTTCAGGATCTAGAATCGAAATCATTTCATTGCCTTGAGCGATATGGCTGATATCATACAAAATGGAGCTCCTTAGTTTAACACATTGTCCTGTTTCTTTGTTTATGGGCATTGCTAAAAGGTTAACGTAATAGCAATAGCATAGACTAAAGACTCCATTTCGGAGGCGGGGATTTTG